TCTTAAAATGACTCATTAAAGATTAATTTATCATCATCAGTCAACACCGGCCCTTGATTCCATAATATTGCTCTAGATTATTTTGATATATTATAACTAGCTCTTAAACTGAAACGTATATTTGATTGTGAGTGCGCTAAACAACGTACGAACTTGAATAAGAACAGTAAAATGCGGAAGCAATAAACCGAAGATTTAAAAACTCTTCAGGAAAGCATCTCACTTCCCCTCAGAGCTCTTTCATTGATAAACCTTACATTGACATAGTTTGGACTTACAAGACTCGAACTCCCTTCTAATCTAGCCACAACTATTCACGACCCTATCAACTATTTCTCCGGTCACGTCCCGTGGACTCTTTAAACCTACACTTAATTCCTAAGTGTAAAACACAAAATAGTTTGAGTGAAAAATAAAGAAAAACAAACAAACAGCTTCAGTTCTTGGATGCGTAATAACCCTCGAACTGAACTGTGAACAAAAACTAATGTAACAGAATATATATCTCAAGCTCAAGTATTGCTCTAAATATCTATATCATCAGCAGCCGCAATAGGAGCTTCTCTTAGGGTATTTATACAATCTCCTTAGGGTTGGAGTCTTCTCCAAGACATAGGACTCCTTGTATGATTTCCTTCCATATTTGTAGCACAAGGTTGGTAAGTGAATCTCATCTTCTCTCTCTCTATAATCTTCTCTTCATGCAAACCTCTCTCTCCTTTTTTGCCATAAAATCCGATTCCCTACAGTAAAATATACCAAAATAAGATCCATGCAGTCTTATATATGAAATACAAAATAAACTAAGTAAGAAAATAAAATAATATAAAGATCTGCTCTTTTTCTGTGGTTCCAGATGCTTGTTCGAACCAACGAACTATTGCCAAACAAAAATATCTTTCATAAACAAAACGAGATGCAAGTAGACACGACTCGACTCAATGAGTCGGATTGAGCTCGAGATCTTTTAGTTAACAAATCAGCTCTGCTAGATAAAGGCCGGAGCCCGAGCCCGAGATCGTTTAAATATCGTTTAGTTAATGAGTCAAGTCGAGCTCGTTTCGTTAAACTTGAATATATATATTTTTGTATGTAATTTTCACTATAAAAAATTGTTATATTACAACGGAAAGTCCTATGTTAATATATTCCAATGGAAATTCCAACGGTATTTCAATGGTATAGCTCCATTGTAATGGTACCAACGGAATTATTCCGTTGGAATGTTTTCATTGGAATTTTAGATGGAATTTGATGATTCCAACGGCTTTTTACCGTAGGAATTTCCGCTGGAATTTTTATTTCCACCCTCGTTGGAAAATCCACCGTTGGAATCGTAAAAAAATTCAACGGATATTCCAATAGCATTCCAACGGAATACTTTTGCTTGGAAAATCCATTTAAACGGAATATTGTTGTTGGAATTTCTGTTGGAATCCATTGAATAATTTCAACAGAAATAATAGCATTGAAATATTTATTGAAAATGCCGTTGGAACAATTCTATTGCAATATATTTCTGTTGGAATTTAATCAATTTCTTGTAGTGTTTATATAGCTCAACTAGTTTCAGCTCGAGTTCAACTCGTTAATATAATGAACGAGTTGAGTTCGATCTCGTTTAGTTAAAAATTATAGTGATTTCCGGTTTTTTTAATATATGCTTAATTAATGCATGTCACATTCAAACTGATACATACATACTGGTTGAATATCCAAAATGTGAGAAGTATATTCGTTTTTGCATGTGTGAAGACTTAGTTAACTAGAAATAATAAGGTAAAATATTTTTTTTTTTATCCGAACTATCACAGTTTTGGCGCATCACCATATCAATAATTCTTTTTACAAACCACCATATGAACTATACGGGTTTGTCCATATGCCCCCTGAACCGGATATAAAAGTGGTTTAGGGGGTACATTGACAAACCCGTAATAGTTCATATGGTGGTTTGTAAAAGTATTTAAGGGGCACATATGATGACCAAACAGCTTTTTCAGTCAAAACCACTTTTATATCTAGTGGCACATTGACAAACCCGTATAGTTCATATGGTGGTTTGTAAAAAAAAATAATTTATATGGTGATGCGCCAAAATCGTGATAGTTCGGATGAGAAAAAGTATTTTACCCAAATAATAATAAGATGATATATATATAAACATAGCTAAACAATCTACCAAGGGAAACAATGGTTAAAAAAAAAAAAAACTATTAAATTGCTTAGCTAAGGGTAGGCCATGTTCTAAAAGTTGCTAGGCGCTCGACAAGCGCCTAGACGCTTAGTCGGGGCCTTAACATCTATATTAAATACCTTATTTTTTTATTTATTTTAACTACCTACAAAATAAAACTATCTCGACTCATAATAAATCCACATACCTAAGTCCAGATAATAATATTAATATATTATAAAAAAACCTGCCAACAAATTAATGTAATTAATATTTAAAAAAATTAAAAAACTGTCGACGAACCGCCTAGGAATGTCTATGTCCGCCTAGGCGTCGCCTAACCGTCTGGCCCACCTAGGGTTGCTTGACCGATTTTTTTAGGTGATTTGTGTAAATCGGAGGCGGTTGGGCACCGCCTAGATCGATTTTTAGAACAGTGAAGGTAGGTGAGACTTAAATAGAAGAAATGACGTATTATTGGTAAGAGTAAGAGTTAGTTCTCTAATCCGATTAACAATTATCCAATTATATTTTTCTCAATATATATGTGTATTATTAAATTGAAATATCATATTCTTAATTGAAATGCAATACTTTTTTTTTTTTGCCGGAACGATAGAGATCTTATATAAAACGCACAAATGTGCAAAGAGCAGCCAACAGCTGAATACAAACAGCCAACGACTGAATACAAGCAGTCAATAGCTAAAAAGTAAGAGGACATGTCCAAAGACCGTCTAGAACCGACCCCAATGGGGTATATCTCAAAAACACTACAGAACACTAAAAAACAACATAAAGACCCCAACAGGGTAATACCGAGTGTCGGGCCCCAACATGATAATAAAGTTGACACTCGGGCACACTGGGGCCAAAGACCCAAACCAAAAACACAGGACAAGAACACACAGGCAAAACGCCCAACCAAAATACACACCTACCACAAAACAAGCAAAACAAATTGAAGAGGAAACACACACAAGGCCCTTCCACGGCAAATCAGTCGGCCCTAACTAGCGGAGAACAGTCGATTTCAGAGATGAGTCCAAGTCCAGAGACGACTCCCGAAACTGCCATAAGGCCCATACAAGAAGTCAAACCCGAACACAAACCAAACTCCGAAACAACCCACCTCAACCGGAGGAACAATCGAACCCGCTCCCACTTTAGCATTTCCTAGGCCCGCCTAACACCACTAGCCGAGCTAAGAAACACCAGAACCTTGCCGTCTAACACCACTAGCAGGAAGGGGGAAGGGTTCGAGCCCTCAGCCCCTACACACAAGCAGAGCTCCACCCCATCTCACCACCCCCAAACCCATCAGCATCACTACACATCACCGGGACCGACACCCGAAAGAGAGAATCCCGAACGGTCCGTCGCTGGAGAAAAGGGCCCGCCCGAAGCCCACCATTCGCACAGAGACAGAGTCAGTAGAGACAGAGGCCAAAAAGGAGAGGAACTCACCTCGAAAACAGACCGGGAAACACCAATTGCAGACCAATTGACGACCAAAGTGCTCGCCTCCACCAATTGCTGCGACTCCGACGAACTAGGGTTAGGCAGACCTTCAAACACTAGCACCTCGCGGCAATACCATAGGTCCGGAACAGCAGAGGAGGGACGGCGGCCGAAAGCGACCACCGGTCGGTGCTGCACCGCCACCGAGGAAATGCAATACTCATAATATGAAAGGTTATACAATTATATTTTGTCAATATATATGTGCATTATTAAATTGAAATATCATTTACTTAATTGAAATGCAATATTCATAATATGAAATGTTATACTGTTATTTATATTATTTCTTACTACATAATATTTGACTAGTAAATATTTTGAAAAAAAATATAGCTAGTCATTAGATAAGCCTAAAACTATAGCAGTTAAGGTTAATGTACCATATATTACAAGTAAAATTAAAATTCTATTTTTTGTTAACTTTTTGTTTTTGAACTACTATTAATAGTCTAATTCAGAATTGAGTACATATAGCAATAAATGCTCCAAATAGTGCAGCAAACAATAATAAAATCATAACACTTTGGAAGAAAAAAAACAAAGCAAGTCTGAATTATTATTATTATTATTATTATTTTAATTGTAAGTTGTATGCACAATAAAACAACACATGCATGAAAGCTACATTTCACTTATTTAGTTATATTTGTCATTCAGTCATCACTCTCAAATAGATTTGGCCATTTGAGACTACTGTTTTCTTGGCACTTGTAAACTTATCATCCACAGGTTTGTTGATCATCCCTTTATTTTTTTCTTCCTTTCCAAATAATTTCATAAATATACATATATCTAAATATTATATGATACATATATATATATTTATATTATTGTCTTCCTTTTGATAATTCACAAGATTTTATAGGTTTGATCTGTTCTTATTTTCATTTTTTTTTAGTAATTCCATATTTTCCATTTTTTTTTTTTTGAAAGAAAAGTAGTGCAAACAACTTAAATTGCAATTTTTTTCGTCTATTTTGTTATTGGTAAATTAAATTTATAAATTAAAACTTAGTTTCAAAGACGAAAAGTAAAGTGGGTAGCCACAAGCTCGGCTCTTCACTTTCAAATCAAATAAATTGCAAACTTTTGTTCTTTTTTTTTTTCTTTCTTCTTCTTTCTTTTAGATGCTTCAAAACTTGTGAGGAATGTAGCAAAAATTTCAGGTTACAAACATTAAACTTTCTCCTTATATCTTTATATTATAATATATATATATAGTCTTATTATACAGCAAAATTAGTTTATTTAACAGAGCAAAAACAAATAAATTAACATACAAACAATTACAGAAATCAACATGACCATGCAAAACATCTTGTTCAAAGAACACGAAGGACTCGTGCCAAACTCCGGCAACCGGCCACCACCGGAGATGGCACGGTGGGTGGCAGAGCAGCTGCCGGTGGCGGCTTATGGCGGCCATCTCGTGCAGTCGAAGCTCAAGTCTTTGGAACTTTCAGCTTCAGGGGATGCCACAAAAGGTAATAATCATAAGATTTTTTTTTTATATATAAATTATAAATTAAATTAATCACACAAATTTTGTATGTGACGAACTAACAGTTAGTCGGTTTGACTTGTCAGTAGCATTTGGTAACAAATAAAAAAAATACATATTTATGTTATGAAATGTCATACTTTTGTTTATTTTTTATTTATATTGTTTTTTAAAGTGTTAACATTTCAATTTCAGTTTGAACTGAATGTGAGTATTTTCGTCTTACCGTTAGGCAATCGAACAACAATCATATGTTGTTTTCAAAGTGTAACATTTCGATTTCAGTTTAAACTGAATGTAAATATGATCGTCTAACCGTTGGGCGATCTGACAACAATCTTACCGTACTCATATATATATATATATATATATATATATATATATATAAAGAATGTTGTAAACAAACACTACAAGAAAACACTTAAATTCCAACGAAAAATTCCAACGGCAAAAATTTCCGTTGGAAATTCCAATGAATATTCCAACAAACTTAATTTTATGTTGGAAAAAGTGTTGGATGGTTGAGGAATTCCAACGGATTTTTTCCGTTGGAATAGCTCTAGGAATTTATTTTCATAGGATTTTCCGTTGGATTTTAGCTATTCCAACGGCCGTTTTTCCCACGAATTTTTATACGTAGGAATATCCGTTGGAATATAAAGAATTCCAACGAAAAATTTCCGTTGGAATGTAAGAGGTTTTTTTGTAGTGGAAACTGAATATTTGGGAAAAAAAAAGTTCGGTGAAAATTGAATTTCGAAGATTTGTTTGATGATAAGGCAACAATCTTCCGTTCAGGTTGTTGCAAGGGCTCGGAAAATAACATCAAGATAAAAATGCAGACTGCATCAATTGAGCATCAGAGGCTTCTGAATCTTCAATTCGGCTATTCACCCGTAAATAATTTTGATCTATTTTCGAACATTATTATATTCAAGTACGTGTTATTCGTTATTACTTATTAGTTCATACGAATGCTCGTTCGAATTTTCGTGACAAAATCAGGTTTTCGCGCAAAATCCCGAGCTAAACTTGACTCATGTAGCTCAAATTCAGGTTTGTTGTATATACACTGGAAGAAAAAAAATTGTGATGGTTAAAAAGTAAAACAAACATGTGGTAAATTTACTAACACTTAGCTGTTAATTTTAGTTACAGGGGCGTATCATGTTGCCATTGAGTATGGCTAGCACCGAAGGAGGGTCGATTTTCGTGAATCCGAAGCAGTATAATCGAATCTTGCTTCGTAGGATGTCACGCGCTCGTGCGTTGATGAAGAATCCGGTTCTCGGGCCCCACAAGGCGCGACGTAAGGTAAAAAAAAAAGAAAAAAAAAAGATGAAAGTAAATTAGCAAAGGTAAAATTTTTATGGTGGTCAAACCTATAATATCAATCATAGTGTTGCATTTTGGACAAGCCTAATGATTTTTTACAACCACCTAATTTTGACTCAAAAATTAAATCTTCAATAGATTCTATTTTTAAGCATATTTTATCATTTAATCCACCATTTTTTCATTTTTTAAATTTAAAGGGTGTATTTAATTGAGATTTTGAGTGGCATTTTAAGATTTTTTGAGATCTGAAACTATTTGAGATTTTCAAAATTTACAAAAATCCTTGAAAATCTTAGGTTTGATAGGTTTGGAGGTGCATTTTAAGATTTTTTGAAATTTGTGACTACAAAATTTTCAAATTTGACAAAAGTACTTGAAAATCTTAGGTTCGAAGGTGGAATTTGAGATGAGATTTCGTATATAGTTTTTGTTTTTGAAATTTCAGTAGACCTTACAAATTCTTAGCAAATCTCATTGTCTAAAAGTTAAATAATTATTGATTTGTTAAGATTTTTTTAAATTCAAATAAATATCTCAGAAGTTTCAAAAAGTCCACATCAATTGATCAATTTTTGAAATCTCAAATTAGTCTTAAAATTCTCTTTGAAATCTCAAAGGAATGCATGTTTATATAATCCTACCAATTACATAAATTGATCAATTTTTAAACATTCTTTGTCCACATCATACACAAATGTTCTCATTTTTTTTATTTCCATAAAATAAAAAAGTATATTCGTTAAGATGCATAATCGTTTGTCGAACTTAGCCGTACATGCACTTCTCCCGCCACCTCCACGCCATGCGCCGCCCGAGGGGCACCGGAGGCCGTTTTCTCAACACCAAGAACTCGAGCGTCGCCAGCCAAAATGCTGCCACCCGTGGAAAATGGACCGGGCCGGAAGGTTGCCGTGGGATATCACTAAAAGGGGTACTTAATCTAACAAATGTTACCGGGCCGGGCCCAAATGATAGCGGCCCAAATCACCTTTCAGGCTTCGAGCACTTCCAATTCGACCATATCCACCGTGCGTTCGTCCAGCAGCCGTCTCGGGAAATGGCTAATCTCGGGTTTGGTATCTCTGTGGAGAGTTGCTTCAAGATCTGACGGTGGCGTTGGGCCCGACCCGTACGGTGGGGCTCCGGGAAATCATTCTTGGCTATAAAATCTCATCCTTTTATCCACGTGTGATAGCAAATAAACGTGTGATACCAAATAATGATAAAGACGTTAATAAATAATAAGTATGAAGTAACATGTATGTGATATATTTTCTCTTCTTGTGGATGTTTAATGTTGAAAAACATGTATTATGCTGTTGGACAATGTTTGTTTTCTGCGGAGCAGGCCCAATTCAAAGTGGGCTGGGCTTCAGAAAAATAAACAGACTTTTTTTTTTTTTTTTATTTATTAAATTTCGTTTATTCATGTCCGATTGTGTGATTGGTCCATTGCCCATTGGGTATCTGTATCCCTTACAACATGGGCGTATCTTTTCTTGAGACTTTTCGTTATCAATAATTACATTTATAAATTATAAGTATAATTACATTATAAATTATAAGTATGCATTTTTATTTAAAAACTAGTGTTGATACCCGTGCGATGCACGGGGTGCAAGACAAGAAATATTTTTATTTAAATATTATAAAATTATTTAAGACAACATGAAATTATATTCTCCACAATATTCTATTTAGTAATAATATGACATTTATTTATTTACTATCATTGTTAATTTCTACTTTTTATAAATTATTTTTTTTTTATAGTTTTTGACTATTTAATATATAAATATTATTACTTATAAGTTTTTGAAAATATATAAATGTATAAGATCATATGATATTTGTATACAAATTACTTGTATGTACTTATAAAATTGTCGTTTATCATAGTCGTATATTTTTTGTAACAATTCAAGATTTGCACATTGATTGATAATTGACTTACGTTTAACTCATGATATTTATCATTCGCTATAATTATTAAGTGCATTAAATGTTAAAAACTTTGATAAATAAATTTTAATTTTTAGTAACTTTAATCCTTATGCAACACAAAATTTTTTATGGTTAAATATTTTATTTTTATGTTTTTATGTTTTTATTTATTTAATTCATTTTTTGAACTTATATAATGAGTTACATAGTATCTATACGAATATATAAATATATTATATATTTCCATAATTACCATGTGTTATAATTTAAATTAGTATACATGCTTTTTAAAATTGAATAGTCTTTTAATGTACATAGATACTTTTAGTGAAATTTATAGTCCTGAATTGCACCCGACCATCAAATTTTATTTTTGTTAGTATATTATTTAAATTTTAATAATATTATCACTGCGTATGATATATTCAATGGGATGTACTTTTTATAGTTAAAATTTACTACATTTTAGAAAATTTTATTAATGTTTTAAATTATTTATTAAGTTATTATGATTCAAACATAGTTAAATTGACTATATTTTAAGTACTTTTGAATTGTGAATATAATTAATTAAATTAATACCTACAACCATAGATGATATTATATTTAATGAAATCGATTTCCATATTAAATTTATGAATTGTGTCAATAAATTACTATTAAATTAATATATCTAATAAATCTACGGTTAAGCCGATTTGTAGTTAATTAGTAATAGTCATTTAGTTTATAGAAATTAATTATGTTTTTTATGCATAAGATTTGTTAATAAATAAATATTAATTAAATGCTATTTATAGACGAAAAAATTTTCCCGCTCAAAATTATGTTAATTATGGCAATAAGGATTGGTCTATTATATAGATATAGATATTAGGAGTCAACAATTTCAGTTAGATTCTCAATTCAGTTATTATCTTATAGTACTATCGTTACATTGTACACATAAAGATTTGTATAAATCTAATTGTTATTATGGGTGAACTGCTTTTTTGGACGTGGAATAGGTCAGGAACTCGCATGTTGTGCTCCGTTTTCTAGCAGCTCGAGAAGATTATAGGACAGGGACTGCGAAGTCAGATCGGGTCGGGGTGAGCGAGCCCTGCTGAGAAGAGAAAGGCCTTTGATCAATGTTCGGTAGCCGTTAAGCATCTCTCCGTGGAACTCCATCCGAACATTCAGAAAGCGACAAGAGAAACTTACCAAAAGACTGCGTCCCGAGTATTTTAGGTTGCAACTTTCTAGCTTCTCGTTAGTAGAAGAAATAGCTCGAAAGCGAATTCAATCACCATTCGCAGTCTCAATCCTAATATCTAGATATACGCCCACCCTTCGAATATTCCATGCAAGCACGGTGATTTTGAACTTCTAGTGGTCTGTGCTGGCTGCGCTTCGTTTGTTTGGTCAGTCAACTTTGTCAATCCCCGGGGACTGGTATTGGCTTGCTGGAACTCGCGATGGAACTCTCCATTTGGGATAGAAATTCATGAACAGACTAACCAGGCTGTTGTCGAAGTTGAACAAGATCACGAGACATTAGGCTGAGGAACGAACCAAATGTTAGATTTATTTTGTGATTAAATATGTGTAATTGATACATTGAGTCATTATATTGTTGAGCCAAATTAATTGATCAAATATTGTACATTGGCTAAGGAACTTAATTTAGATTGTAGAATGATTAAATGTGGACATACGATAATATTATTATTTGGTGACGTAACAAACAATAATATTAAAATTATTTATGGGTGGAGTCCTAAAAAAAAGTCAAATAAAAATTGGTAGTTGTTGGAAGTTGCCGACACTTTCTTATGAAGTGTGACAATTAACCACTAATCAATGAAAAAAGGGTGATGGGGGGAGGCATCATTTATCAATCATTTTTTCTTTCTACGTCAAAAGAATCAAGGGAAAAATTCACGGTCTTTTGGAAGATCTTCAAATCCCAAAATTCCAATTCAAGTTATAGTGAACTCAATCAACATGAATTCATCAGGTACGCTTCTATTGTTCAGTTATGATTCTCGATTATTGATATGAATGCTCTTGTAATTAATATCGATTTATTTCGAATATGGTTAAATCCAATTCTATCAATTTGTATCAGACCCTCTTTATATTGATTTTTTTGGGAATTAACTTCTCTGATTGTATTTATGCGCGATGAATCTATTCAGTTGCTTTGGGATCAAATATTCATGTGATTGAATTTTTTATCCGAATGCTCTCGGTTCAGTTACATGTGATTGAATTTTGATATGATTGGTCAAAATCAAAATTGCTCGATCTTATTGCTTCTGGTTTGTAATTGGATTCATTAAAATTAATTGGATTAATTGATTATGGGTGACACTATATATTCTGGAATTCTTCTCTCATGCGAGATAAAATTTTCTCTCTCTAGAGAACCCTAATTCCCTTTTTTTGAGATCGAATTCCTCCATTGGAGTTTTCCATCTTCTCTTATCCTATCATATTAACCTCTTATTGCTAAGCTATCTCATTTTCTTTTCTTTTTTTTTTTCTTGCCATAAATTAGCTAATCCCCTCTCTCCTTTTCTATTTTTCTTTTCCTTTCTTTTGTATTTGTGTGATTCTGTTAATGCAGGTTCTGAAATAGCTTTCTCTTGGACTAGGGCAATGGGGTCAAAAGGCAATCCAGAGGAGTTGGAAGACAAATTTCAGAAACTAGATATCTCGAATTCAGAAAACAATATCATCGATATCACAAATAACGACGTGCACTCCAGTGAAGAAGAATGTTCTCGCAGCCTTTTTGGCAAAATTATTGGAGACAAGAAAGCCAATCTTATAGGGCTCAGACGAACCATGTGCAGTATCTGGCAGATTCAAAGCCCGGTGGAGGTGAGAGAAATCCACTCAAATTATTTCCAATTCATCTTTGTCAGTGATGATGACAAAAAGAAAGTGATGCAAGGAGTGAATTGGATTTATGACAACCAATATCTAATCTTGATGGAATGGGAAAAAGGACTAACCGAAAATCACCAGAGTTTCTCCGAACTGAATCTTTGGTTGCAAGCTAGTAACATCCCTATAAACTGGCTTAGCACAGAAGTTGGGGTGAAGATAGGCAGTGTATTCAAGAGATCCAAAAATGTGATAAAGCAGGTGGATCAAGAGGCAGTTTTCTCAGACTGCTAGTTACAGTGGATGTGAATGCGGCTATTCCCATATGTGTTACGATTAGGCTTCATAATCAAATTACTAGGATCAGTCTGCAATATGAGAAGCTCGTCAGTATATGCTATTATAGTGGCTTCATCGGGCATATTGATAAAACATGTCATAGACGACTAGCTGACATAGAGAAAGAGACACATCATGGTGGTCAATATGGCGAGTGGTTAAAGGCTATGTAAATTTACGCATGGCCCAGAATCCATATTAGCAGTAATTCTTCCAGTCAATTCACAGATTCTCCAGTGCCTTCAAGCAACCAAAATTCTCTTGAATCAAAGGGAGATGCAGTGGCCACATCCTCGGGAAGCAAACTTATTACAAGCAGCTCTAAGATCCCCAACTCTCAATTGGCAGAGGGTGTGCTAAGTCCAAAGCATCAGATGGAAAGAACAGATGATGGAGGAAACTCCAATACAGAAGCTATGGTGGTTACTGAAGAACCACTTGACAACCCGGTCAACCTAAATCAGACAACAAGTTCATGCCCAGTAGAGGCCAATAATGCACCAGCAGCCATACCAATTGCAACAATAAGCACTCATACTATTGAAAACTCAAGCCATAAGACAACATCAAAGTAATGGAAAAGGCAATTTCAGCAAGAAGGTAAGCCAACCATTGATCAGAGGCAGTCAGTCCAGACTGAGAACCCACATCAGAGGAAGAGGCAACTTGTTTTTTTATGAAGAAGGACTAAAAGATGTTCAAATCTCTCTTCATTCTGATCATATCCAGAAAAAAGCAGAAAAAGCTCAAGTAGTGAGGTGGAGGAAGCCAGCCTGAAATGGCCCCAACCCCCCAAATGAAAGTTGCCATGTGGAACTGTAGAGGTTTGGGAGTGCCCTCTACAGTCTCCCAGATTAAGGAATTCTCTAGATTCCACCTCCCATGTCTTTTTTTCATAGCTGAAACAAAAAAAAAAAAAAATCATTTACTAGAACAGTCTGCAACAAAATT